TGTGTATAAGAGACAGGGTAAGAAGTTCTCCATGCATAAAATTAAAGGCCGGGCTTTTTATTGCAGCTATCTTGCCTGACTACAACACTGGATCGATGTACAGAGCAGGAATACTGCCATCATTGTTTTTTGCAATCTCTCCTTTGACGAGAAACAAAAGGTTTCGCTCCCACTTCTGCCAGCGCCTTGCCACTGGTGGTTCCTCTCTCCCGTTGTCAGCAAGGAAGCAGCTCTACCTCTCGTCACCGGACCAAAATGTCCTCAGGACAAGGATCTTTGTCTCCTCAGGGCCGGTGGTGCCTCACTCACACCCTGGATCCGCAGAGCCCTTCCAAGAGGAGAGCCTGGCCACTGCAGGGAGCGGCAGTTTGGGTTTGTCCAAGCGCTCACCACCATGGCTATAGCTGGAGCTCGGCCTGGAAGGGATTCGGTTACCTCCCCTTTCTACCCCAGCTCATCTCTGAGCCTGAAAGAAGCAGGCACCCAGCCAGCTCTTGTTCAGTAAGCAGCTTCCTTGGGAACCTTCCCTGTTGTGACAGCTCAAACATTACAGGGACTGCCAGAACCAAACCACTCAAGGAAGAGATCCCCTCCCCCTTCTGACATTGACAACCGAGGCAGCAGCAGGCAACACCGCGTGCAGGAGTCGATTTAAAATGTCACCGAGGCACAGGCTGATGGAGGACACCAAGGCGTCCTTCCTCCGCCCTGGAGGTGATGCTGGGGTGGGTTGCTTTGCGGTTTTTTTTGTTATTCCCCTTCCTGTGGTCTGTGCCTGCTGCAATGTGACAGCCTCTAATCGCTCAGCGTGAACCAGAAACGTCACTCTCATCTGTATTGATGATGGTGCTACTCACAAGTGCAAGAACATACGCAGGCTCAGCCACCCATCCCAAAAGCATGCCCCTAAGCCAGCTCACCCCTCAGCTTTAACCTTCAGGTCTTCTCTGCTTCCTCTGTCAGTTGAAAGCTGCATTTCCTTCTCTCTCCCTCTCCAACAGACACAGCCAACCCACAGGGCAACTTTTATGTTTAAAGGGAAAGCCACCAGTTTCTCGGGGACAAGGGGCACAAGGTGGAAGTGCTCAAAGAGCCAAGTGCAGGTCACGACGATTTCTCAGCTACAAAACCCACAAAAAGGCCCACCTTCTCTCCTCGCCAGCCCTGGAGGGGGTCCCGATCAGTCTCCTCTCCTGCAGCAGCAAGGCCTGAACAAGCTACGAGGAGTGTAACAGGCAGAGGACTGAATTCCTCACTGCAGCAACAGCAGGCAATTTTCTGACATCCTGCTCCCATTTTGCTCAGAGACAGGAGCCATCTTGAGCCCTTTGCCGACTCGTTCCTGGCACTGCGAACAGTTACATCATAGAAAAGTGAACTCATCACTAGGGCTGCGACCATTCCTCTCCCCACATCCCAGAGCATATCGCTCCTCTCCCTCCTCAACCCAATTCCCTCACCCAAATTACAAATAAAACTCAATTTCTGGGTCCTTCTAACCATTTCCACCCACAATTCAATGCTCAGCTTCTC